TAACATTTTCATCACCTCACATAATTACTGTGTGTGTGTGTGTGTGTGTGTGTGTGTGTGTGTGTGTGTGTGTGTTGAGAACACTTGAGATCTACTCTCAACAAATTTCAAGTATACAGTACAGTATTATTAACTGATAGTTACCATGGTGTAAATCTCCAGAACTTATTCATCCTGAATAACAAATTTTATACCCTTTGACCAACACTTTACCATATCAGCCACTCCCCCAAACCCAGGCCCTGGCAACCATTATTTTACTCTCTGCTTCTATGAATTTGACACGTTTAGATTTCACATGTAAATGAGATTATGCAATATTTGTCTTTCTGCATTGGCTTATTTCACCTCAAACAATGTTCTCCAGATTCATCCATGTTTTTGTCAATGGCAGGATGTCTTTATTTTTAAGGTTTTTAAAATTAAATTTTTTATATTCCATTGTATACATATGCCACAATTTTTTTATTGAGTCATCTGTTGACAGACACATAGGCTGTTTCCATATCTTGGGTATGGTTAATAATGCTATTGTGGCCATGGGAGTACAGATACCTCTTCAAGATACTGATTTTACTTCCCTTAGATATATACCCAGAAATGGGATCATTGCATTATATGGTAGTTCTGTTTTTAATTTTTAGAAGAACCTCCGTGTTCTTTTTTTATAATGACTGTACCACTTTGCATTCCTACCAATAGTATACAAAGGTTTCCTTTGCCCTACATACTCACCAACACTTATTATCTTTGGTCTTTTTGATAATAGCCATTCTAAAAAGTGTGAGGTAATACCTCACTGTAGTTTTGGATTGCATTTCCCTGATGATTAGTGATGTTGAACACCTTTACAATATACCTGTTGGCCATTTGTATCCCTTCCTTCAAGGAATATCTATTCTGGTTCTTTGCCATATTTTAATTGAGTTATTTGTTTTTTTTTCTATTTAGTGTTTGAGTTCTGTATACCCGGGTGCCAAAAAAATGTATACATATGACTTGTATTCATTTTTTGTTATTGGTATATATTGAGTATTACAATTTTAATAGTTTTTTCCTTTCTTAAAATGTGTATATATTTTTTGGCACCCTCTGTATATTTTGGATATTAACCTGTCACCAGCTCATTGTAGTTTTGGATTGCATTTCCCTGATGATTAGTGATGTTAAACACCTTTACAATATACCTGTTGGTATATATTGAGTATTACAATTTTAATACAGTTTTTTCCTTCTTAAAATGTGTGTACATTTTTTGGCACCCGTTTCTAATCCTTACACACTTCTTTAGCAGACAATACTTTCAATTGTTTTCCAAAAGAAGCTTTTGTGTGCCCACAAATGCATTATAATTTGGCAAATAATGAAAAAAAAACACTAAGATTACCATAAATAAATCAGCATAGGGTCATGGATGTACAAATACTTTGCACTCAGATTGAGAAAAATAATGAATGAGGGATAGGAGACAAAGGAAAAAAAATTGTCACAGTGTGTCCTCATGCCATTATAAAGTTTCAGATGTCCCAACTCCCCCGTTTTCTTTTGTTTTCCATGGAGCTGTGCAGCATATCTTACTAGCAGAAGCCTACCTGGAGATGAAGGGCCCGTAGGTTTTCTGGGAGTGGAAGAGGGATATGGTCCAAGTTGTTGTCAGTGAGGTAGAGATGACGGAGATCATACATGTCCTGTAAACATTCCAAATGCAGGGACGTAATAGAAATTAATGGCGCACAGTTGTATTTTCCATTCCCTGTCCATGCAACTAATTATAAAACAACCCAGCCTGTCCAAATCTTGTTTGGTAAAGTTGAGGCAGTTTAGTTTTCTAAGTCAGTAGACAATTCAAATGAATTTTGGAAGAATTGAAGGCAAGCAGATATCATATCACTTGTTGAAAATGAAACCTGTTTCTCAATCTCTAGGAAGAAACTTGCTTTGTCCACTTTAACTTTCTTGATTGAAGTATGGTAGGAACTTCCTATTCTCTATTTTGTAATAGGAATTTGAAGATTTTGGTGAGGCATAGCAAGAATTTTCTTCATGTTATAGAGATGGAGAAATGAGAATTTCTCTCCAACCAAAGCCTGCTCTTTCTAGCCTGAGTTCCAGGGAAAAGACAGAAAAAGTTTAGACAATACCAGGTGCACTCTAGCCAAATGCCACAGGACAAACTGTGACTTACCACACCCATGACAACAAAAGATGAGTGGAGGGACTAGACTTCTATCCTTGCCAGTCTCTAATGAGGTGCCCTAATTCTCTGCCCAACAGGGTGGTGTCACAGAAGGGCTAGTAGAGAGAAGACTCTCACCCTGGCTCAGTGCTAATGGGTCCAGGTGACCCCCTCTGTAACCACCATGAAAGTAATGCGATGTCCCTTCTTAGTATTTTTAATGACTTGTTCAACATATATTAGAGAAGCAGCTTGAACAGAGTGAGGATGGGTAAGAAAGCCAGTTGGTTACTGTTCTCAGACCCTATGCTCTTACTCCAAGCAAGTCACTCTAGCCTCAAACTTGCTTCCTTCACAGAGAAAACAAATTTCATAAGATGAACTGAATCCATCCTCCTATAAGGTAATTTAGAAGCCTTCTATCCTCAAGGCACCAACCAGACCCTGTACAAGTAGTTATCCATCTAACCACGTTAAATACTCTCCTTGAGTGGAATTTTTGGTAAGTACACTTTATCTGGCTTACACAATTTCCAGGTACAATTTATAGATTGGTGCTGCAGACAGAGACCCACTTCTTTTTTTTTTTTTTTAAGCTGAGCCATCCTACCACCTGTTCGCAGCTTAGCGGCAGCTCAGCTCGGGCCAGGCATCAAACTGCTGTTGCTCAGAGCTCAAACCCTTGAGCGAGCTCTTAACCAACTGAGCCACTCTGCCGGCCCTAGAGACCACTTCTTATTAATGTTCTGTTTTCAGTTCTTGGTGCTTGACTAGCCTCAAAACATACCAGGACACAGTATTTCCCCAAAAGCATGATAAATAATGTTGTCAAGTTTATTTCAGTAGTTAAAAGTCTCATCAAAGTGAATTCCTTTATAGAAATAAAAAGGCTAGTCATTGACTGCAGAAGGGATGGGAAGAGGAAAGTCTTTCATATGCAAATTTAAAACTCACTTTAAATGCTTCTTGTTTTATTCCTTTCCTTCCAAGTCTGTTGTTGCTAATATCAATGAATGTTAAAGTGTTTGGCAACTCGGGGAGTTGCCTTATTTTGTTGTCACGTAGGACAAGCTCTCGGAGTTGAGGCAGTTTTCTGAATGCATCTTCATCAATCTCCGATATTAAATTTGATGTCAGATCAATCCTTCTTAAATCATCTAGAAGGAAACAATGAAGGAAGTAGTTAAATATGCTTGAAAGATTTTTGTTCACATCAAAATATGAATATAAATTTCCCACATACAAGCAAATATAAACATGAATTTAATTAGGAATGAACATCTAATGAAATAATTATTTCTAACTACTTTATAAAAATGTACCTGTTTCCTCTAACTACCATTCATATTGATGTACTTTATGAAACTCAAGCAAAGAAACTGGTACATTATATTTAAAATATCTAGACTTTCCCCTATATTCTAAATAAATTTTATCTGGATTTTACTATTTAAAACATGATGACAGATTGTTGTGTTTTCCAGGAGTCAAAGATATATTAATATCAAAATACAAAGGCATTAAAAAGAAATTTTCAATGATTAAAACACTTTATAAAGACAACTACACATATTCTTTTAAGTTAGCAGTAAGTAGCAAGTCAGAGTTTAGGCTTGCATTCATCAATCATAAAGTTATTGTCTTTTAATGGAAGTCTCTTCAAACAAGCCAAATCCTAGTAAATATATGACCATGACATTTTATTCTGAATGTCATAACATAAAATATAATTATTTATAATTTTTACTTAGTTGAAAATAATTTATTTGAAAATGTCAACTATATAGCTTCATAATGACCTTTAATTATTCATCATTTTTTTCTGATCATAATTAAAACAAACCTTCAAATGGTTAAATAAGAAAAAAATAATTGATTAATGAGGCATATTTTATATTCAGGAATCATTTTCAGTACCAACATTTCACAGCGCAAAATGTTTAGGAAAGTCTAAAGAAGAGAAGGACAATAGTGCTGTCATCCATACTTAGGTTTGCAAAATCATTTTTGTTGATCTTTTTAATTCTGTTAAAGCGGGAATAGAAATAAGCGACGTTCTTGGGCAGCGGAGGAATAGCATCAAGTTCATGGTCATCACAGTATACAGTGGTACTTATACAAGTACACAGAAGACAGGTTGGAAAATCTGAAAGATAGAGGCAAATAATTATAAGTAACAAAAGCAGTGTCTAACAAATAACATGATTAGCAATGTTTGTTAAACGAGATTAGAGTCTCATACAGATCATCCTAGTATATTTCATATTTTCTCATATAGTTTTCTGTAAATGAAATATTTGTCAAATATATGAATTAAAGCTGCCCCATAATTAATATGTTCTTTGTAATGTTTTAAAAGTTTATTTTAAATTACTGAGCTGGTACTGCGTAGTTCTTGCTTTTATACTTATTAGAAATAATATCTTCAAATGTGAATATTAAGTTCCTGGTTTTTATAAATTTAAAACATCATATATAACATGCTTTTTTTAGCTGAGCCATCCTGCTACCTGTTGGCAGCTCAGCGGCTGCTCAGCTCGGGCGGGACTCGAACCGCTGTTGCTCAGAGCTCGCACTCTTGAGTGAGCTCTTAACCAACTGAGCCACTCAGCCGGCCCACATATAACATTTTTATTATCTCTTTGGTTCAATATTTAAATACCCCATTGAAACAAAAAATATGCCTCAAGAAAAATATAGGGTAATAATCATTAGTATTAATTCACTCAATATGTACTTATTGAATCCTTTCTATGTAAATGACACTACGCTAGCTGGTGAAGCAATTGCAAGCACAAGGAGATAGGATTCTATTTTTATGATCTGCTATATAAGATAAATGTTAATTACACAAATAAATAAAATGATGACTGTGGTCAATGTCACGAAATATATCAGCATAAAACAGGGACATTTGATCCAGTCTGAGAGTCCTGGTTCTCTGAGGAAATGATCATTGCGCTGAGGTAGAGAAGGAGTTGACTATGCTGGTGGGAGGGAAGCACATTCAGGCAAAGCAGCATGTGCTGAGTTCCTTCACTTTGGAGGGACTAAAAGATGGTCCATGTAGCTAGAGCACGGAGAACATGGGAACGTGTAGGACATAACATGTACAGCAATGTATTGTAGACTGTGTTACAGGTTTTGTTCCTTAATCAAAGGATGGGCAAGGGTAGTATGTGATCAAATTTGCATGTTAAGATATTGCTCTGCTTGAAGGTATGGTGGAAGACTGAAGGAGGGCCAGTGGGCTGAGTGGAGATGAGTTGTTGTCTATTTGAAAGATGATGGTTGCTGAGGTAATGGTGATAGAAAAAGCAACAGATCCAAAAGATATGTGTTAAGCTAGGTTATATCTCAACATATTAATCTATTTTCACCATCTATTACACACACACACACACACACACACACACACAGCCCTATCCCTCCTCGCCCCCTGTTTATTGGTCATGTAGAGGACAGTAAGCTTCTAAGGGAGACAGAGAAGCAATGACCAGAGGGAAAGAGGAAATAGGATGGGGCGATATTATGGAGGCCACTCCTCTGTTCTTGCAGATATTAGCTCAATTATCACTTCCTCAGAGAGCCAGGACTCTCAGACTGGAGAAAGAGTTTGAAAGGAAAGAAAATGGAAAACAATCTAAAGCTGCTGAGATGTCAGATAAGTTAAGGACTGAAAAATGCCTCTTGGATGAGTTATTGTGGTGGTTACAGAAGACTTCAGTAAGAGCTGTGGAGTGATGAGGCTGGAAGCCAGATTCCAGTCAACTAAGGAAAAAGGTGGAGGTGAGGAAATAGTTACAGCAAATGCAGACAATGCTACTGAGATGCTTGACTGTGAAGAATGAAGGCGAGATGGTGGTAACTCTAAGAAGATATATTTGCAGAGTGTATAATGAGAGATATTGATTAAAGTGGGAGAGGTTCGCAGAAAAGGATCCAAAGGAGAGGTTGCAGATAGGAAGAATCCTGAGAGGACAGTAGGAAATGGTGCTCAAAGCCCAGTGGGAGGAATACATGTCCCACATGGGGAAGGACAGACAGTTCCTCTGTTGCAGTAGGAGGGGAGGGAGAGAAAGTGAATGGACACAGGGGTAGGTAAATCATATGTCTGAAAACAGACAAAAGAACTGCCAACTGGACGTTTGCATTTTCTTGTGAAGAAGGAGGCTAAGCTTTCTGAAGAGCTTGAGAAGTAAAGGTTGGAGAAGAGGAAGGGTTTTGAGAGGTGAGATGAATGGAGAAAGTGAAATAAACTATGAGAATTATAGAAGAAAGTGATGGAAGAACTTTCTCGGGGTTGCTGAGGTGATCAGTCCATCACTATTGAACATCTATCTCCGGAGCCCCTCACTCTCAGGCAAACCAGGACACTTGGTTACCTTAGTTGAAAGATCTGTTTGTGGTTTGTGATCAAGAACTAGTAATGCACCAACTAAGGTCTTATTGCTTTCATTAAATAAGAAAACCATTTACGGTAACAACTTCAGGAATAAAAACTATTTCAGGAATGGAAATCCAGGAAAAAAATTTAAGAGGGAAAAAATTTAAGAGGGAGCTATAATATATTTACTACTTACTACTTTCTTCAGTCACTATAAGTTAATATTTGTCATTTAACATAAATTTTTTAAAAAGTAAGTTATTTGGTTCTTCTACATTTTCATGGCTGTGTTAATTTAGCAATAATTGCTTAGGCTAATTATATATATATATATATTCATGCTGATTATAATTTAATTCTAGTTATTCTACTTAAAGCTCAAGCCTACTTTATATGGCTTCAGAATATTATTTTTAGAAATTTGTATTAATTGCAAAAAATGCATTTGGATTTTTAATGTTCTAAATATTTCTAAACTACTTAATTTTGATGAATTTATAAGATTGAAATATAATTTTAAAGTTTAGATTTTTCTAGTGATGATGCTTCTCTGGAAATTATTATAAAATGTGAATTAAAATGTAATGTTATTACACTCAGACTACTTTAGAGAAAACATTTTTTGAAATGTCATAGATTTTTTTTAATATTGCTTCAAAACTGACATTATTGAGATATAATTTTGACTAAATCTTTTAAAAAAATTGGCCATTCTGCATTTCGGTTGTTTCTGGCTCAGCTGAAAGACTCAAATACAGGTAATGATGCCAGAACAGTCAACTTTTGAAGGTTCTGGAATTACTTAAAAGTGAGTAATGTTCCTGGAATATTCAATTTCCCTATTTTGAGGGCTTTCTGCTGGGTACTTACATTTCCTTGTCATTGTGTGCATTTCCCTGGTTCTGTTTGTAGAATATTCTACTATTTCATAGGTAACTATGTGTAAAGAATATGGTGTATTCATTAAAGACTTAAGATTTAGTGGTCTCTGTTTGCACCCCAGCACCACCACATACCACCTCTATAAACTTGGACAACTTTATAGTATAATGGGTTTTAGTTTTCCTATTTATAAAGCAGAGATAACAACACTGAGTGCATCGTGTTGTGACTCTTCAAAGTTAATGTACATAAAACACTTTAGTGGCTGGCATATAGGCAGCATTTCACACACACACACACACACACACACACACAACTTTTTACATATATAATTGGTGAACAGTTAAAAACTCAGAATCAGAGAGTAGTTTGATGGTTACCAGGGACTGAGGAGATGGGGGAAATTAACAGTTGTTGTTCAACAGGTATAAAGTTTCAGTTATGCAAAATGGATCAATTCTAGAGATCTGCTTACAACAGTGTGTCTATGGTAAATGACACTGTATTGTACCTTGAAAAATTTACTGTGAGAAAAAAATGATAAACTTTTATCAAAAATAGAATAATAAGAATAACTAACATTGATTATGTTTACTATGAGTCAGACATTAAATTCATTCATTTAATCCTTAAAAATCTGTATGAGATAAGATCTATTATTAACTATCCTATTTTTTAGATGAGGAAACTAAGGCAACAAAAATATCAAATACTTTGCTCAAGACTATACATCTGGCAGGTCACAAAGTCAGATCTGAATGCTCTCTTCTCTCTTTCGTTCTCTCAGTATGTTCTGTACAGACTTTTCTCATATTACCTGTAACACATTATAGCCTCTGAATTTGTTTACATGTCTGTCTCCCTGTACTAGACAGAAATACTCACGAGAAGAGTAGTCATTTTAAGATAAGTTTTGTATCTCCAGAACTTACAGTACAGAGATACTTGATGCTAAGTAAACCTTTGCAATGGAAACCCTACTCAATTTTTCTAACCCCCCTCACCATGCCATTCTCTCTCTCTCTCTCTCTCTCTCTCTCTCTCTCTCTCTCTCTCTCTCTCTGTAAAAATATTTAGGTATAAATCCACTTGAATACCCCCAAGGCTGACACTGACAAATTGTAACAAAAAAATACAGGCAAATCATAGAATCACTTTTAGCACCAGGAATCTTTTCTCATTAGCTAATAGCATGCTCTGGCTGAGATCACCCTCAGGTTACATAAGATGTAGTGGAACGCTTGCCTCTCCTTTCCTCTCTCTCGGCTGCTTCCTAGGACTGAGGGAGAAGAAGCCTGTTTTCCAACACATATACAGACAAAAATCAGAACAGGCTCACTTCAAACCCAGTGTGTGAAACTAGTAGCTACACGTTCCAACCTTTTGAGCTAGTTTCCTCGGTAATAATGAAAGGATGAATAATAACACCTTCACAGGGAGGTTGTAAGAGTCAAATGAGATAATGCGAAATGCCTTATAGCCCACAGATATTATGTGCCCAATCAGTGTAAAATATTATTCGTACTTTTACCACCACCATCATCATCATTATCAATTACCGTGTCACCTTGAACTGCTGTGGCCTGATCTCTCAGACTTGCGTAGATTCTGATCTTGCTAACAGTGTATTCTTTATTTTAGAAATGCATTCCACCACAAAAGTTTTGCATAATGATGCCAGCACATTTTCATCCCAAATTTCCATTATGCCCGAGCTGAATTATTGAAACTCCTTTATATTTGAATACAAAATACATGTGTATCTCCTGCTTCAACCTAGCCAAGTGCAAAACTTTCTCTTTGGGTTATGTGGGTTCCTCGTGGAGGTGGAGCCTGGCAGTTTTGAGGGTTGACCAAGTGGACTTAATTACTGTCCAGCTTTGATGGACCTGACCTTCATTGGTGTGTGGACCCAGAACCCCAGTGAATTCGGGCTCGTGTGGGGAAGAGCCGTCGATCAGCCTGGGTGTAGACTCCTCCTCCTCCTCCTCCTCCTCTTCAGCCACCTCTGGCTGGGGGGGCGGGGTGAGGAGCTCTCTGTTCCCTGAAGGCATCACTGTCGCTATTTCAATCTGAAAAAGAAGCAGAATTTTATCAGGCCACCTTCTCAATCGCCCTGTGTATCAGTGACACAAATATAAAATGTACCCATCTTTGCCACAAGAGGGCGCGCGTGTTCTGAAGTTCAACACAGCGTGACTGGGAGAGCACATGTGGTTCCAGTTACTGCTAATGTTGTTCTTAATTAGTTTGGATTCTCAAATCTTAGTAATAGTTTCCAATGCCCACCTACCCCCCTTTTTTGGTCTTCTTGCTCTTTTAAACATCTTTATGTGTTTGTTCATTCCATAGGCTTAAAAAAACTCATTGTTTTCTAAATACATAGCATTGCAAGAATGCATTCATTGTGAAAGAGTCAAATTAACTCAGAAGTGTGCAAAGTAAAATTCAAAAGTCCCTTTCACCCTGCAGCCCTAATTCTACTCCCCTTGAAGAGAATAACCAATAAGAAATTGATGTGTATGTTTCAGTCTTTTTAATCCTTGGTTCCTTAGATTCAAATAGTCTGTTTCTTTACAATTTATACTTCCTCCAATTGTATTTTACTGAAAAGTACCATTTCTACTAAAATAAACTATATGAAGACATGAAAACTGTATGATTTGATTATGATATGCCATCTCTCATATATTTTCAATATTATTTTGAATAACAAGTATTACCAACAATATCTGGGTATGTTAACATTGACCTTTTTGAGAGTTTTGACAATAGAAGGCATTTATAAAATTGAAAAAATACTCAAATATTTTTTCAGTGATTGCGTTTTAGATTACATTTTCTCTTCTCTTCTTACTTGCATAGTTTAAGTAATGAGTTATTGCTTCTAAAACCATTTGTGTTTAAAATAATCCCTTACTCTCAAGTCCCTTCCTTTGCCTCAGTGTCTATTCCTTTGTATTACTTGATAAACATCTACCTCCCTGATGACCATGTGACCTTATCTGCTCAAGACAATTGGTTGGCCACATGCAAGACCCACCCATTGGGGCCCAGTTTCCTCATGGCATCTCCAGAAATCTCAGATTCCCCCTTTACCATCCTGACATGGCCTTTTGACCCCTTTCATCTTTCTTCTTTATTTGCTTTCATTAAACAAACAAAAAAACACACAAATCACTTTCTAATATTTGATATAAAAATGATATACAAGCTATCACTTTCATGTGTAAAATATATACATAATTAGGCCAGATGTTTTCTGGATATTTTAGATAGATGTTTTCGATAACTATAACATTTTAAAGATACACATTATTTAACATCACTTAGATAAATTTGAAAACATTGCTTCACAAATGAAAATTATCCTTAATAAAACTCCTAAACTTTCTTTTGTCAGTTCACATTTCTGAATTGTGTCTCCTATACTTTTGTAGAGTCTTCCCCTTTCAGCCCTTCCTACACTGTATTGTATTGGTTCTACCCCTTTTCTGCCTATCCAAGCCTGCTTGACTCTCAGTCATGTCGTATTTCTTTGTACCTCAAGGCTGCAGCATAATAGATAATCAACAAGTACTTATTGATTATCATACAAAAACTTTGCTTGTCCCAAAATACATCTAATTCACAGCTCTATGTTTAATTTTAGAGATTTTGCTAAGAAGAATCAATGAATGTGTTAATGCTTACTTTAACACATTTAAAACATGAAATCAAGCCAAAAGTACACGATACTGTATTTGGTGCATTAGGAAGCCATACATGAAGATATTATGGTCAGAAATCTCCACTTGAGAAGACTGGGCACACTTCCTTAAACAGACATACGGTTTCCATCTGCAGGGTCAGAATGAGGCAGATTCAGAAGGAATGGATTTGCAGAGAGACCAAAAGGAGGCTCCAGAAAGAGCGGAAATTGAGACAGATGTTTCATGGAATGGAGGCAGCTTAAAGGGAGAAACACATTCCAGACACGTTGCCTTGAATCTTTAGCTTTACAGGAAAAATGTTTGCCCATATTTTTTGCACATAATTGTTTTTCCACTGATTTGATGTGAAGCTGTAAGATCTCACTTGTCATCCGATATAATGAAGCAAAACAGCTTTTGTGTTTATCAGAAACTGTTTTGTTCATGCTTCCTTGTTATTAAAATGGGAATGTTAAACGACTTTTAAGACCAAGGAAAAGGGATGCCTTTTCAGTTCAGCAGACTTGAAGAACGGTAACCTCAAAGGACTGAGAGCTTTTTGCATTGGAGACACATTTATTCTCACTAGTGAATAGAAGTGAGTTAGGCTTCTCTCTTTTTTCCTCTCTTAGCAATTTTCCTACTGTGATATGAAGTTGTGAGGCAATGCATGCAAAGAAATGAGGCCAGGGAAACATGACCAGTTGGCTGTCTATGTGGCAGAATTTTATGCTTGTGCTGCAGAAACCAAACCTTGAGGATAAACACTAATGGCCAGAAAACATGACTGCTCTTTTTTCTCAAGCTAAGGTTGGTAACACACAAATGCAAATATATAACCAAGCCTCTGATATAAATATCCATCTGTTTTTGTTTTCCCCATTTTTTTACCTTTTTATTTTATTCTGATTTGCTTCCTACTGAATTGACTTTTAAATTTGATCATTGTAGTTCCTTAAAGTTTAAAAACACCATAGGAAAGGTCACTCCTATATATGACCTTGCGCTTAGATGTTACAGCACTGGCATATGTTCTTGACCTAGTACCAGCAGGGTACATATTTGAGTTGATTGGTTTGTGGTAAGTTGTCCATTTCTATTCTCATGTTTACCTGGTCTTAGAACTGTGGATAATTTTTGTCATGGTAAACTGTGCTCAGGTGTGCATTCCATGTCCATGAAAGAGTCTATCTATACCAGCGATGACAGACACTTAGCCCACAGAGACTGGCCTGGGTATGGTGAGATCCCACCTCTCAGCAAGGTCCATGTCAGCCTGGAGAGATACTAGTGCCAAGAAAAGAGTCCCCTGGCCTGCCTCAGTCTCCACACTGACCCCATGTACGTAAGCCAGGCTCTCAATGTAATCTCAAGGTAAAGGGGGCTGCAGTGACCCTGAGGTGTCTCAGAGCTTCTGTTCCAGGAGAAATAGGGACTCTTAGTAGAAAACATTTCAATTACATTCCTTATACCAGATTATGTGTACTGAGATTTTTACCATTAATATTTATATTGTTATTAATAATACTGCAAAAGACTTGAGACTTTCATTCTCCCATAATCGGCAGAGTTACCTGTAGAAAAGTCTTTCTGTACAAGTACTCAGCACCATTTTAAGTAACAATCACATTTGGTTAAAAATAATTTAAACCAAGTCTATGTGTTCCCTAGCAAAAAGCACATTTAAATTATCTCTATTGCTACCATTAAGCCTACTTAACTTTTCTTAATGTCAGAGTAAAAATATGGAAAAATAGTGTGTTCAGAAACAGCAGTCACAGTCTTCCTACTTGTCTCGTTCACCACTGAACCCCTTTAGCACCGACTTCTCGTCGAACGTGCTGATCCCTCTTGTTTAGGATGGTCACAAGCTATTTGCTGCTGTTAAGCATTGTGTTTGAACTAATAAAACATAATATGTTTTATTTTTTGATATATATTTTTTAAATCTCAGCTCTTAGCCTGCAGCTAAGTTTCCAATGAGAAACTTCATGAAAATGTAATAAATGTGTGATGGGAAAGAATGCTATGGAAGAATTCAGATTATTCAGGTTTGATTCCTACCTTCATGAATGAATGCAAAGATCATTGAATGAGCAAATTTGTAAATGATGGGAGGCTTGGCACACTTTATAATTATTTAATCAAGCAAGTCTATTCCAAGCATTACACTTAAGTTATGATCAAATGTCCATTTTACCTGTCATTATGACTTTCTAAACATCACCAGTACCACTATGTTTCCTCTCTTCTACTACCATTGCCATAATCTAAGTTACTATCCTCTCTTGCCTGGAATACAGCAAGAGTCTACTTATAGGAAGTTGGGATCTCCTGCAGTATATATATTTTCGCCATGAATGAGCATTAATTATTGAAAAGACAAAACTCATCATGTGAACCCTGCTTAAAATATTTTAATGGCTTTGTATTGTCTTCAATAACCACAAGAACAATGGCCTTGCACAAGTTCTGTAACGTATTGGCTAAGAGGAAGGATTCAGAGTAGATGATTTGCCTAGCTGTGAGGTCTTGGGCAAGTTACTTTACCTCCTTGAACCTCAGTTTCTCCATTTGTAAAATCCTGATATAAATAGTATAGCTGGGTTAGGATGAAAATGTTAATACACATAAAAACACTTGGAATAATGTCATACATACAGTAAGGCCATGGAAATGCTTGCTATTATTTTTAGAAAATATTCAAAACTCTTTTACTTATAGGGTCCTCATGGTTTGGCCCCCCTAGTGTCCACTTCCTCGGTCTCATTGTGCTGTTTTGCTGCACTGGTCATCTTTAGTTCCTTAGGTGCTCCATGCTCCTTTTCATATAGGACATTTGCACATGCTGGTCGTTCTGCTTGAAGCTCCCTCCACTCCCCATCTTTTTTTTTTTTAAGTTTATGTTATTTTATTTTTTAACAGCTTTACTGGAGGTATAATTGATATACAAAGAACTGCACCATTTAATATGTACATATAATTTGTTAAGTTTGAACATGCACAAACATCTGTGATAAGCCATCACCACAATCAAGGTAATAGACATAGCCGACACCTCCCAAAGTATCTTTGTAATTAACTGTGTATTGAGCTCTCATATCCAGTTCAAGTCTTACTTCCTCAGGGAAATGCCTCATGACTGACATGATACAGACAAACATGCTTGCTGGCTTCCAGAGCATGTGTACTTCTTTTTGGTACATCGACCATTACATGTGTGGTAGATTAGTTTTTCTAATTGTTGCAATTATTCCTTCCTCAGATTTATGCTCCTTTGCAATATAATTTTTCAACTCCTACAATCACAAAGTAGAGGTTAATTTCTCATTCCTTGAATTTTGAAATTAGACCGGATTTCTGATTTGTTGTGGTGAACA